GAATAAATAAGAATGTCACAGGGTCTAAACCAGAGGCATCACTTCTGGCTCTGGAAGGCCATGAGCTGTAAATTGCCACTGAGCAGAAGAATATACCAGGAAGTACAGTTGTTTAAATGACCCTCTTGGGTATTATTTGCTAGGAATGTGTTAGCCATTGTTGAACACAGGATACCAGACTAGACAGACCTCTGGTGTGATCCTGCACAGTTGTTTTTGTGTCTAACCAATTGGTTCTGCCTGTGCAAAAGAGGTATTTCTATGAACTGTTTAATGGAAGATGGCAAAGGAGACATTTGAGTCACTGGAGTCATCTTCCTACAATGCCTGGTCAATTCTATCAAGTGCACATTAAAACACTGTGTATTGGAAAGTATTATGAGTTAAAATGTTTTGAGTTCTGTGTATTAAAATACAGTTTTACAAATACAAGTACTGTGAATGCTTTCTTACAAAAAATGGGATTTCTTTGCATGAGGTACATGCGAGCATAGTACATATTAATATCATAAATGCAAATTAATGACAGTGCTTCTGTGAAAGCACTAGAAAACATTTTAATATATTTTTAATAGCTATTATAAACTTTCCATATAAAATCAATTTCAGTCTTACAGATCTCTGTCATTTCTAATATTCTGAAAATGTCAACTTCAAACATTTTCATTATGCTGGGTCTTCTATGCTTTGTAGTTTTCATCTATGATTTAATTGGTGCAGCTAATTAAAAGTGTAATCTCACATTCACAATTTTAAGTTACTTAAGTTTGCACTGATAAGGACCAAGTTAAGCACTCAATGCACAAAACGGGATATTTAACTTTTAAGCACATGAATCTTTTCAGAATAAAGGTCCTGGATGTCTGAAGAGGTGAATCAGATATCAAACAGGCTATAATGAACCTTTATGTGTACCACAAGCAAAGCAGAAGCTTCCTTCAGCTCTGAAAATTGTACTCACAGTAAAACATCTTCAAAATTTATTTTTTATGTTGCCTAAATTTAGTGTGTTTGTCAATAATGTTAACAGTGTTTGAAGTGAGTGAGAATAGACAGTGTATAAACAGTTGCCTTCTCTTTTGTTTCTAGATGGTCTCTTCTGGCTTTGAACTGTGTTTCTCTTTCCAGTAGATCTTCTTGAGAAGATGCTTATTTTAGACAGCGATAAAAGAATTACTGCCTCAGAAGCACTTGCACATCCATACTTTGTACAGTATCATGATCCAGATGATGAACCTGAGGCCGAGCTCTATGATGAGTCAATAGAGAATAAGGAGCGAACCATAGATGAATGGAAAGGTAATACCATTGCACTTAGTAGTTAATACATGAAGCAGAACAAAACCTGACCTTAAGTAACAGTTCTCCTGGTTCTAACCAGAGCAATTTGAACTGTTAAGCCTCAGGGAATGTCCACGTGTGTGCTCGTGGGAGTGGAGAGGTGGAAAGGGTTGTGCTTCCCTTCTGGATTTTGCTCCTTTCCCCTATTCTATCATCTCACTAGATAGCCTGCAGCAGGTTTAATCTTAAGTAAAAACTGATGCTAGTTACCAGGTCATCACACATTCTGTCTTGCTTTTAGTTTTCCAAGTCAGATTCTCTGCTGAAGTAACTGTCTTAGGACAAGTGACCCTATTTGGGATTCTGATCTGGCTTTGTTCAGAACAAGAAATGAATATTTTCTACCTAGATGTGTATTTGGTTAATCATTCTTTAGATAGCCAAATAATTGGAATGAGTAGGTAAACCATGCTGTTGATCTTGTTTTTAGTTGAAAGTTGATAGTTTTACTTGCAAGTTACTTCCCAAAACCCATCCTTAAGAAACACTGCAACAGCCCTTTCTTTATTAGTTAATTGCATGCTTGCATCATGATCATGTTGCACTACAGCATCAGGGAATTAAGGTGGCTAAACATCAAGTTTGCAAATACACTGAAAAGCACAGTCAAATTTCATTATTGTCTAATAAGAACATATGGTAAAAATTCCTTACTAGACATTTTAAATTCACAGTAATATTCTAGAAAACCAATTGTTCCTGTGTATTGATGAAGTTCTTACTTTGGCTTAAGATGAAATATATGTTCTATAAAATAAATGTTCTTCTCTTTCTATTTGTATATTCTATGGCTTTTACCCCAGAAAGGTTTGATAAAAATCTATTAGTACAGCGAGTAGGCTTATGATGAAAAATACTGACCTGCCTTGTCTTACTCATGCCCTTCCACTTGTGCCATGCTTTATCCTGGCCATTGCAGGGGAGACAAGCAGGTGTAACTACAGCAAATACATCTAAAGAAAAATAGGAGTGGGATCATGGGTCTCTGTACAATGAAGTAACCTCCTAGAGCCCTGAAAAGGGTTTTCTAGAAGCCTGCTGCATCTGTACAAGCACGTAGGATTATCTGGTATTGCTTACTCCTTAGACATGCTCTCCTCTGCAAAACCTGGCAGCTTACAGCACCACCTACTCTCCTGGTTGGTTGAGAGGCATGCTCAGTTTGCTGCTCTTCTTACCAGGGAATGATTTCTTTCCTGCTACTTTTTCTGTTGACCAGGTCTTTAACAGGAAAGTTTAACAATTTCAGAATGATGAAGCTGCTTTCTGTTTGTGATGAAACTCTGTTGAAGTTATTTCAGGAACAACCTTAGCTTAACTCTTTTTGAACTGAAATGAGGATGTGGAGGTGAATTCGCCAGGAAGGACAGTGTCATATTTTAATATATCACTGTACTTGCTGGGACTACAGGTCTAATTCCTTCTTTATACACTGGGGGAAAAGAAGGCCTGAAAAATAAAGTTCAGAACTCACACAGGACATGCAGCTCTTTTTCCTGGACACATTCTTATTTTAGGAGAATAAACTTTTTATTTTCAAGTATAGTATGTGCCACATTTAAGCAAGATGGCATAGAAGGTTACCGTTTGCTTACAATGTTTATATTGTTGATGACATATTGACCCAGTTTCCCAAGATATCAATAGCATGTTTCCCTGCTTTTTCTCTCCAGGTTAAAAGTTAATGGCACTTAATCCCAAAAGGGACTGAGCACCAAAGTAAAATGAGATTTCAGACACTTTGTCTTACACACTACGCACTTAGGAGTTTTCTTGGCCTCTACTGTATGCTGCTGAGGCTTGCAGGCCTAGCTCATAGATTTCTTTCTGACATGTTTCATCAGCTAGAAAATACTTCAAAATTTTAGAGGCCCAGAGTATGCTGTTCAGAGTTGAAGGCTATGCACTGTCCTTAGCTGTTATTCCAGTTGCACATACCTCAGTGTAACATCTGTACTCTGCTGAGCAGGTGAGACGAGAACCGGGTAAGGAGCTTCATAAACACGCAGTGCACAGCTAGCAGGAATAATTCCTACTTCCAGGCATCAGAGTTGTGAGGATGCTGGCTTCCTCTGGCTTCAGTCAGGACCACTTTAGCTCCTGCCTGGCTGCCTGTGACCAGATGCCACTTTATAGCCACAAGTCAGTCCCTGAAACAGTCACTTCATGAATCCTTTCACCTCAGAGGTTCTGCACACAGAATTTCTTTCATAAAAATCCTTCCCTGAAGCTGCTATTTTGGTCACTGTACTCTGTGCTACAGCATAACACAACCAGAGTGTAAGCAAGATTCATCCTGAAGATTTTTACATCCTTTTTACAGGAGTGCTAGTTCCGCTTGCAGGTCTAGCAGCTGTCTCAGACAGATCTGTTCAAGAAACGAGCTGATAAGCACAAGTTTGATATGATTTAAGCATCACCGTTTGGAAAACAGAACCTGAAGTAATGCATTGTTAGCCATATATTTATGTGCAAACTGGATTTGGTCCTTAAAATACAATATCTAACTTGAGAGGCAGCTGCTGGTGACATATTCCATTACTGTACAGGGCACAAAATGGGACATGACTGTCATCATGAAAAGATAAAGGGCTGGTCTTAAAGCAGGGTGAAGTACCAGGGAATCTGTTTCTAACTAAGCCCTTCTTGATGAAAACAGAACTGTCACATCTAAGACAAAAGAAAAAAAAAATCAGACGACCTTAATATTAAGTTGTTGAATTTAAGTTAGTTACAATAAAATGTAAAAATCCTCAAAACTTAGCTCTCAAGGCATTAGCATAGAATTGCAAGTGATTTATGTTGAAGTCAATTGACTGAGAGATGATAAAGAACATTCTCCACAGTTAGTGTCTGTGTTAAAACCTGTTCGGGTGCTTTTAAAGATTCCATTTTCCATTACATTTTGTCTTTTATTACGTCATTTTGGCAGGTCATCTGACAACATAATTGATGTTTCCATTTCAGGGCCTGTGTGTTTTAGTAATTAGCTGAAGGGGACAGACATGTTGTATAATAACAGTATTTGTGAGTGTAATTTGTAATCTGAGGTTAACAGAAGGATTCCTGGTGAATTCGGTCTATTTCTGGATCTAGACTCTAAGGAGGCTGGAAACACAGGCTAAAGTCACAGGCATCCATACAACTGTTTTGTGTGGAATATATTTCTTTTGAAGAGAGTATCACCTAATTCTTCTCTCTCCCTTTATACCACCTCTACAGAACTTACCTATGAAGAAGTGCTTAGCTTTAAACCCCCCGAGTTAAAAATGGATAGCCTGGAGATAGAACAGTGAATACAGGCAGCTCCGTCTCGCCTCGCTGCACTACGAAGACTGTTAAAATAGCACCATACAATTTAACCTGTGGTCAGACATAGATTTTACTATCCCAAAGATGCTGGAGAAGATGTGGAAAAGAAGATACATTATACAGAAGCCAGATGTTGTCTGTTTTGGGTGGGGTTTTTTTTGGCCTTGTAATATGAATGTATTCCCAACTCTCAAAGGTTAATGAAGAACTGCTTCATTCGGACAAAATTATGCACTGAGTTCTGTTGAGCTGTGTGTTCTGCATGTTTCATTTTATCAGTTGTATTGCCAAAATAAAGGTGACTTTTAAAGTTAATTTTAAAATTGTACATTTAAAGCATGAATGTATACAAAGATAAACATAGAAGTCCATACGAGAAATATTTTTTTTTCTGGCATTTTAACTACCCGTTTTCATATTATTTATAGTTAGTGCCTTTATGAAGAGAGGGTGTGGTAGTGAGATAGACAGAATATGCATATGTAGTCATATCTGTGGTGGTCTTACAAATTTCCTGGATGTCTCTCAAGCAATCTTAACTCCAGTTGAAAGTCAGTAAAAATAAATCTGTCTTCTGTTGCCATTCAAGTGTCTGTTCTCATTATTTTTCCCATGTATATTCTTTTAATCTGCACAATACCCATTTGTGAGATGATTTTACTTCCTGATGGTACTCATAACCATGCCGTCAGTGGAGTGCTGGTGAATGTGCCTCAGTTTAGAGGAGGATGCCCTGAAGGCACTGCAGCAGATCTCTGTAGTCTTCTGCAAGCTTCAGCAAAGGCCATCACAGATGGCAGTGCAAGAGTCTCAGTTCAGTTCACAGCTTCAAATTCAATAGTCCTCATTGTCTTATTTTCCTTCACGTAATCTTTGGGAAAATAACCTAATAATTGCCATTGGAAGACATAACAAGAAGTTTTAAGAATTTATTTGAGAAAAGATTAAATATCCATCTCAACAGAGTTTCTTTTTAAGCAAAATTTTAAAGGCTTTCTAGCTTTTGAAAAACTCTGAAAAGTTGGGAAATTGGGTAAATTGCAGGATACACCAGATACTGAGATTTCTTAAAGGATTAAGTTATCTAACTTCCCTATCAAAGGCATATTACTTGAACAGGAATGTTCTCTGGAGTGAGGCCTCTTGTGTTGTGCTGGCTGTGTCTTTCTACGTACTTGTCATTCACAGTTGTTCAGTGTTGTTCATTTTTGTGTCATTCTAGTTCTGTTTGAGCTCTGTCTCATTTTGGAGGTGTTTTTTTATAATTTTTAGGTTCTCTGCAACTTTTGTCTTTAAGATTCAGTTCTACAACTATTACATGAGGTAATTAACTCTACTGCATTAATTTACCTTCCTCTGTATCTTTTCTATGTAAAATGAAGCTTTTTCTTAATAAACAGATTTTAAAAAATAATCAAGTCCAAGAGCTTTGATTTTATTCAGAGATACTTGGTACAATATTGTTTGTCTTCTCTGAGTAATAGAAAAAAGGATTGTGTCTATAAAACACGCTTCCAATCTGTGGATCAAGTGGTGGACTGTTGTTGATATTTTTGGCCAGTTATCTGATACTTGCATCCAGTGGAATACAGTCATTTGTGGTCACTTTCTGCAAGGCATATTAATCTGAAAGTAAATGCCCATCTTGATTTCTTGTGAGTTCTCTGAAGTGTTGTCTGCCCATCATTACCTTGGCTTCCTACAAAGCTGGATGAGGCCTGTAGTGGTCATGCAGTGAATGAATTTCATCGTGACTAAAATGGGTGGAAAAGGTTGTAAAGCCTTAAATTATTTGCCTAAATACATAATGAAAATAATCACTGAGTCATGGGTTTGTTTTTTTTTTCATTTGTTTGTTTACCAGTTAACAGAAAAGTAGTTCAGTACTTCATTTTCTCTGAAATCTGATAATGAGCTTGCTAGCCTTTTCTGCAGCTCTATTCCAGCTGGAAGGGCAAGGATTAAATAAAGAGATTTCACAAGAACCTCCTGCACCCAGTGATAATTAATTTAGCATGGGATTTGTCCCATCATCTGTTTCATCTGGTTTCCCGGCTATGAGGGTGGCCATCACCAAATGTTTCAAAGGATTTGTAAAACTCTGTGGTAGGCAAAGACCAGACAGTCTGCTCTTGCCAGAGCTCTGCTACTTGAAGTAAAAAGAAAGTTTTCTATCACTTCCAACATTTATTCTTTTGGCAACTCCACATCTTCCTCTGAATATTTTTTTACACTCAAAGATGTAATTTTTTCTAGGAGATAAATTATGTAGGAAGAATATGGTCATAGCCACGTTTAAACTAATCAAAGGTGACAGTAATGGGTAACAAGAGCTCAGCTATTTTTAATGAAATACCATCAAAACCTGTAAATCATCTAATTTTAATGCCAAGAAGAGCAGTAGAGAGATGTCTTTTTCCTGGATTTGCAAAATGAAGGCAATTTCTTAGACCTCAAAAGCCACTAATTATTTTTCTAGAGCAGGTAAGGCACTCCCTCGTGGTAATCCAACATGGGACTGCAATGTGGTAAATTTATCAGTTCACAGCAGCAGGACAGGGTAATTGGAAAGCTGGCACCCCACTGGGACAGAGAGGTGGAAGACTTAGCACTAACAATACTTATCATTTCCACACAGGTGGGAAAAAACATTTGTCAGCCAACACAAACGGGCAAATGGAGGCAAACATCTAGGAGTGAGGGCTTTGTCAGGCTTGATGAACCTGTACTTGATGAACCTGTACTTAATTAAAGAGTAAATAAACATAAAAATAAGGAATTTATTTTATAAAAAATTATTTTCCAAAAGGTTACTTTCATGAAGGTATTGTTTACATGGCCCAAATTTTATTTGCAAAACTTGTAGCGGAGCCTGCTTAAACTGGGGAGTTTTGATCTGATAGCACTCTTCACTTCTTGTTATTGTGCTTTTGTGGATCCTCTGCAAACTGCGTGTATGTTTGAGGAGAGTATGGTAGGTCTCAACCCACACTAGACTGGGCTGCTCTTCCTCCCTGAGCACCTGCAAAGCACGGAAGGGACACTCGGAGGAGCACGGCTGGGTGATGCTACTGAAGGAGGCAGCTCAGGCTGCCACTGGGAGAGAAAGCACAAAAAGCTCTGAGGCTTTCTCTGGTTAATTACTGACATTGTGAGCAGTTTACTTCTAATCTGAATTTACCTAATTTCACCTTTCAGTCACGAGCTTGCTGTCCCTCCACCTACTGAATTGAAATCACTTCTAGTATTTATGATCTTGCTCTATAATCGGTAAGTGCAATCCCAATTCTAGTAATTCTATCATCATTGCAAGTAAAAAGGCCTTGCAAAAGAAAGTCTTTTGCATACAACTCAAATCTTTTGTCATTCATAAGCATACATGATGCTTTATTTAAAATAGGCATCTTTATTTTCCTGTCATACACAGAATTCCCTCCCAGAAGATACTAAGTGGCTACACAAGTATGCAACAGCAGGATTACTTTGGGAATTTATAGGGGTGAAAAATAATTGGAAAATAGGTAATCAGCAATGATACATGAAAAAATACTACATGCACCAGTAGGTCAAGAGAGATTAATTAGCATGGTTGCAGAATTCCCATTGAAGCTCTTCACATGATTTTGATGCAGTGCAGAAGATGAAAACAAGAGGGAAGCAGGGTCAGTACACTGCAGGGTCCAACACAGCGAGCTCGCCCGAGGGACAGGAGGTGTACAACCCTTTCAAGGACAAAATGCTGGCAGGAAAAGCAGCTTTGGCAGAGGTGGGGAGCAGCCAACACAAAAGCCACTTCCTTCCTTCCCATCACGTGTGCTCCTGGATCATAACAAGAAAACAGATCTCTACCATCCCAATTTCAGGACCTGGTCAAAGAGGAATCTGTTCAAAAAGTACCATATTCAGCTACAGGCACAAATTGCTTAAGCATCCTTTGCTACATCTGTAAATTACTGGCTTTGCCCAAGAATACCTTGACAGATGAGTAGTGGTAAAGATTTAGCTCTTGCTAAAAGAGAATCACAGTGTAAAATGGGTCAGTTGTGTCCTTTGGTAGCAGCACAAAGGAATTCAGCCTCAACAAGAGCAGTCTCCTCAGGAAGGAATTAACAGTAATGTTTCTGTTTGCTTTAAGAGCAGCTGCTGGTTTCTCATACCTGTGAACCATGCTGCCAGTGTTTATGGAGGTACCGCAACGCTCCGAAGCTGGTCCTTAGAAAATCACAAGTGAGAGTCCCAAGTGTCATTAATTTATGAGTCTAGGCAAAAAGCGTAAGGGTTTTTAAAGGACTAGTACCAAGAGACTCAGAAAACTGCATTAGTGTAGCTGCCACTGACCTTCTTTCTGCTGTAAGATGAAATATTGAACTCATATGCCTGAGTTTATGGATGTACCGCAACGCTCCAAAGCTGGTCCTTAGAAAATCAGCACACTTGCACAAGTGAGAGTCCCAAGTGTCATTAATTTATGAGTCTAGGCAAAAAGCGTAAGGGTTTTTAAAGGACTAGTACCAAGAGACTCAGAAAACTGCATTAGTGTAGCTGCCACTGACCTTCTTTCTGCTGTAAGATGAAATATTGAACTCATATGCCTGATATTCCAAACGATCAGACACTTAATCCATTAGACAGGAAATTTCACCATAATGAGTGAAACTGGTTAGGTAAGCTTAAATCTTGCCTGTATAGAAATGCTTCACTTTGCACTCACATAGTCCCCCAGCTTCAATTATTGTCACAAATTGTGTAGCATAGCTAGTCCCTCTAGGCTCCAATTTGATCACAAATAATACTGACTGCAGTAGCAATACAGAATGGAAACACAATGAATGCAATGTTAAGGTGGTGTTGTGGATGAGTGTTTTAAGTCACATAAAGAATCACCATCAAAGATATTAAGAAAAGTGGTTTTAATAAGTCAAAGCATGACTTAACAAAGTTCAGTGACGAGGTTCACTGTTACTTAATCCATGGGAGAAATACACAAAGGAAAACCGACTTGGGGTTGGGCTGGAATGATTTTACACAAAGAAAATGAGTGAAAGCAGTAAGGGAGGCCCTCCTGTGGAGTCACGAGGTTCAGAAGGTTCCTCCTTGCACTCTAAACTTCTTCTCAGAGTGGGATTTAGGTATGGATAGATCCAATCTTAGTCACAGACATGGTCAACGGTTTATGTCTAAGGGAGCCTGGGTACTAGGATTTCAGTGATAGCAATTTAACATGGCATTGTAGGTCCTCTATAACTTTAAGGTAGCAGCAGTTTAAAATTCATTAACACTATTATGATAAATCATAAGACTGGGCTGTATGATTATACAGCAATCATTAATCAATAATTGATTAGAATCAATGCAGTGATTTAGATAAGGATTCAACAAAGTTCTCTAAG